AAATATGTTTGGCACCTTTGTCTTTGGTGCTAATGAAATAAATCTCATGCGATAAGCTGAAAATCTAACAGAGGCATTAACGGGCGGGTTACTTGAGGCGGTTGCTGGATCTCGGTTTACTCCGAGCTATCTCAAGAGTTATCGGACTAAATTGGCACTAAATTGAAATAAATAAAAGTCAGAGTGCCTTTATGCAATCTGATCAACTCGACAATCCCTATCCTTGATAACCATAGTTAATCACTGTTCATCATTGGTCTAGGATCTGAAGATTTTTGGCTTACTAAGCAAATATTTAAATATAAAATTACTTTAATAAAATGACCCATTTTGTAAATTTTTTCCTAAATTATTTGGACTCTCTAATTTTTGAATTAAATTTAAAAGATTAGCTTTTTCAAAAAGAAAAATACATTGCTGGAATAGAGTGACATCATATACAGATATGTATTTTTTCATTTTATATATGTATATATATTTTCTTATAATTTTATTATTAAAAAGGCTCATATGATCTCACATGTAATTTACAATAATTCCTTAGAGACAAACACAAATTCCAAATTTCAAAATTAGAACTAATTTTTTATTTTCAAACTTATAAAAAAATATTATAAAAATTATATAAAATGAAATAAATATAATTAAAATTTTATAAATATTTTTATTATAAAATATAATTTAATTAATGAAATTCATTCTTCTACTAAGGTTAAGGCCCTCTCTGAAGCTTCTTCACCTCACACAGTAGCCTCCCTCTAAGATCTTCTCGATCAGTCTATCCTATGTTCTTTTTCCTCCCTCGGTGGTGCCGGATTATCCGAAAGTTCATGTTGGCTCACTAAAGCGCATTATACAAACTGTCATTGTATCTGATAGAGTAGTGCCTCGGCTAGCTAATTTAATTGGTGTAATTAAATACTCTCGATCATTTTTCATTCAATATATATGTAATTATTTCATTAGTTATCTTCATCGAATATATAAATTTTACATTTGGTTGAAACTCTTAGACTATATATAACTATGGAACTTGTTGCGCATATAGATGGTGATCATGAAATAAATCTCTATGGTATTAGCCTTAAATGTTCCAAGTAATAAAATAAGTCAAGCTGGGGTATTGACTAGATTTAGATTAGATTTGCACGTGCATAGCATACTCGTATGGAGGGTGTCTTGTTTCAAAAGTGATTAGTGTAAATGATACTAATGCATACATGTGGGCGCTTGTTAGAGAGCAAGTTCACTGAACGATCCCACTTAGAGAATTCTCTATAGATGCTTGTCGAAAATTAGAATTTTCTATGTTTGCGATAGTGTATTAAGTAATCCTTTGACTTGAGATTCTATTGTGATTTTGTATATGAGTACTTGTGCTTTGTTGTTTTTCCTTGATCACAGGTTGATCATATAAGAGGTTTTATGTTGGACATAAACCATTCATATGTGGAGGTCTACGATGACCGATATAGGATCCATTACCTATCTAGCAAAATAAGTGAATCTCCTATAATATCTACAGATAGCTATTCTGAAAACCCTTGCGCAAGGCATATGACAAACAATTAAGAAATGAGTTTTCTAAATTGGTCATTGAACAAATATGTGAAATAAATGTATCGTTATTGAGATTATCGGGATACCAACATATTATCCAAATCTTATATCTCGATCGAAAGATTAGTTAATAGAAGGATTGTATTTGCATGGTAGACGCAAACAGAAAAAGGTTCATGGTCTTACCTTTACCTATTTCTAAGCTTTACGGGCTTATTACTAGACATATCCTATAAAGTGTGAGTACTCTTGTTTTAATGTAAATTAGTTCAAGAGTGGTTAATTAAAAAGTGTTTCATTAACCAGAGTAATTAATTATAATTAATTATTCGTATATTAAATCATAATTTGTTGTAGGCCCACTACTAGTTAATTGGTGAACTTAAGAGGTCATACGCAAGAGTGAATAAGTCCATATCATTTATAAGAATTTATTTGATTTAATTAATTGGATTAATTAATTAGAACTAATTAATTAAATGATTTGTCATTTAATTAACAGATAATGGAGAATAAAATAATTATATTAATTAAATAGTTTCATTAATTAATTATTTTATCTTATCATATAAAATCTCCTAATTAGTTGGGAGATTATTAAAGATAATTAATATGAATTATCTATATAGATATTATTTGATTTTAAATTAAATAATATAGATATTATCTCCTAATTTATGATAAGATAAATACAAAATTATTTTTCTATAAATAGAGGTCTAGGAGACCTTTATCATAAGAGAGACTTTCAAGTAGTTAAGAGGGAGAGATTCTCAACAATCCTTAGATCAAGAGTTATCTTGGAAGAAAAGCCCTTAAGTTGAGAAAAATACTTTTGGATTACTAACATAATCCTAAGTACTAGTGGATGCCCCCGTGTGGATACCATTAGAGGAAGTGCATTTGAGCTTCTCGTCAACCATTCCAATATACATGCTAGGTTGTTAACGTGCGAATTTGAATTTGCTCAATCCCTACATTAGTTGGAAGCTTGTAAGGTATAAATCAATTTTCTCTGATTAAATTTATGTATATTGTATCCTGTGGCATAGAATTAGGGATCTAACATAACTGATCACATAATAAAAGACAAAAATTTTAAATTTCCGCTACTTTAGAATTCTCTATTTTGATATGAAACCTAGTAGTGATATCAAAGCTCGGTTTATGCATTTTTTAATATGAGAAATTTTTGATTCATATAGATTGATCAATTTAAAATTTTGGTATCAAAGAATAGTTTTAATGATTAAGGTTTTGAAACCTTAAAACCCTTTATACAAAATTAATTTTGTCAAAATTAATAGTTTAAGTTTATTGAAACTTAAAAGATTTTACTTATTTTATTATTGAAATTGTTTCAAAATAAAAAATTAAAAAAATTCAAAGCCTCTATTATGGAGGCTGTTTTTTTGAATGATTTTATACATATATATATATATATATATCGATTGAAGTCTGCTGCAAATTTATTAAAAAATAAAAAAAAAAGGAAAAAGAGGCAATCAATTAAAGCCTCTACAACAAAGGCAACTTTCCGCAGTTGCTTTTAAGCATTCATAGTTGTCTGACTTTCTTTAAAATGACAAAAAAAGGACAAAAGGTACAAGGAATATACATTACAAGCGGTCATGGCCGCTTGTCCACCATGGCTATACAACAGCCAAGGTCGACGGAATCTTCAGGCGAGTGTTGCCTAGTTAGATTGTGGCTGGTGTCACCATGACCCCTACTTGATATGGATTTTATTTTATTTTATTTTATTTTATTTTATATAATATATGTGTGTATATATATATATCTTCAATTTTTTTATTAAAAAAAATTCTAAGCATGTAGCGTACTCGCGGATGCTGCCACCACTACAAGCAGTGGTGGCGGTGTCTGCCATGCCTAGCTAAGGTGGCAATTTGACTGGGGGTGAGCTCCCTACCATGCCGTAGCAGAGCCATTCGGATTTGCTACAAGGGAAAAAAAAGGGTTGAAAAAGATGTTGAACTAACGGTCCAATTGGACTGGACTGGACTGGTTCGGTCCAGTTTGGTCCAGTTAATTTTGACGAAAAATTTCAAATTTTGTGTTTTTGTGGTTTTTTGTATTATGAACTCAAAGACACCAATTTTGACTAAAACGGAATTTTCTAAAAGTGTAGAAAAGATTTTTTAAAAAATCCAATAAATTTATTGTTTACACTTGATGTTTATATTTTTGTTGGATGATTTATATGATTAGTTGTGGATTAGTTAATTTTAAATAAGGCCTGTGAGACATGTCTTATCTCTCATTCTTGTATATATTTCTATCTCCCTCTCATGTACGTCCCCTTAGGTTTAACTTGAGGTTTCTATTATTGTTAATTGTAACAATTATTTAAAATGACAGAGGTGAGAGAAATTGGTACAATATGGAGAATCAAACCCACAAGTCGACTAGATCCTAGTGAAGGCTAATAGAGGATTAGTTTAGGTTTTATTTTAATTCCATAGGATATCCATAACTATACCATTACTTTTCTTATTTTTGTGATATACTTGCTTTTATTTTGATAATTGCATACTTATAGATAACTTAATAAGGAAAGTAAAAATTAATGGATTTTGGTTAATTATAAAACCCTCACTTAGTTTAATTAAGTATAATATTAAGTTGATATGGGAAATATTAAATGCAGTTTAATCGTCTATGCCTTCCATTAATGAAGTCATAACTGTGACACTACCAAGCTAATGTGATGTCTCACGAGTCGTGGGGTACATTTTGCAAGGAAAGTTGTGTATACTACTTTAGCATATGATGCACATGGAAGTGACTTGGTTATGGCATTGGCACACGAGTCATGGGATGATTATAATCGAATCATTTGCATGATTAATTAATGTGTCTAACTTAACGTAAAGTAACATAGGGGCTCATATGGTTGGGTCTATGCGAAATATGAGATAAATAACTCGAGGTTTGCATATGAGTGCAATTAACGAAGATGTTGTCTACCTGTTGATTTATTTGTGAGCTCATATGGTTGGGGCATGAGTAAAGTCAATAGGACTTCGAGTCCACTAAGAAATGTAATTTCTCGAATTTCTATTTGAGGGTAATGGAATTTGAAAAAATAGTGAGAGATAAATTTGAATAAAGACCATTTCATATTTGTTTGCATATAATGAATGAATGTTGATACTCTGCCATGTTACTTTATTTTCATAGATTTTATATTACTGCAAATAACTAAAAATGCTCTCACCACCATTGTTGAAAGTAACAAATTAACTGACTCAAATTATGCTGATTGGATAAGGAATCTAAAATTTGTTTTAGATTATGAGGGATAGACTTATGTTTTGACTGAAACACCCCCCGATCCTTTACTCGAAATGCAACTGTTGCACAAACGGGAAAGCACACTCAAAGTGGTTTGAGATGACCGTCATGCATTGTGCATCATGCTGGTTTCCATGTCGAGTGAGCTTATGAAGCAATACGATCACCTCAGACATGCTTCTGAAATATATACACACTTGGAAGAGCTTTACAAGACACGAGATAAGCATGAAAAGTTCGCTGCCTCAAGAGAGCTCTTTAGAGCTCAGATGACTAAGGCTATGTTTGTCCATGAGCATGGTACTAAGATGATCAGGCTTAATCAGAAACTTGAAAAATCTTAACGTAACTATGGACAACAAACTCTATACAGATTTAATCTTACAGTCATTATCGAGTTCATTCGATTAGTTTGTAGTGAACTTTAACATACAGCAAATGCAAGTTACACTTGAAGAACTGGTCAACATGTTATGCGTAGCGGAGGCCACTATTAAAAAAGATAAGACTGTTTTACTAGTTAGTTCTTCATCCCGATCTAAGGCTTCAAAAGCAAAGAAAAGGAAAGAAGAAAGGACCTAATAAAGCAAATAAGGTAAAACCAAAAGGTGGGGTAAAAAACACTAAGGCTGATCAATCCAATCACCAGTGCTTCCATTACATCAAACTTGGCCATTGGAGGAGGAACTGTAAAGATTATCTTGCAACCGTTCAGAAAATCGGTATGCTCTTTGTTGAAGTTAACTTATTAGTTAACGATACTTCTTGGGTATTAGATACTGAATGTTGTTCTTATCTTTGCAATGATTTGCATGTGATGGTGAGAAGCAGAAAACTAAGTAAAGGAGAAGTCATCTTACAGCTTGGAACTGAAGCAAAAGTTGTAGCTGAAAACTATAAGGACTGTTTACTTAGTTTTAGCTAATGATTTTAATTTAGTTTTGAATGATTGTCTTTATGTGCCCAGTCTATTAAGAACCTTTTTTTCTATTTCTGTTTTGGATAATGAAGGTTTTGAATTTTTCTATTAAGAATGAGAAATTTTTAATGTTTATGGATGGTTCTTTCCATAATTTTGGCACATTATCAAATGGTTTGTATACGATTGTTCAAAATGAATCTATTTTAAATATATAACAAGGAAACAATCGAAAACAAAATGATCAAGATAACGCACAATTGTGGCATGCTAGACTTGGACATATTTCTACGAATAGGATTCATAAATTGGTTATTTCAAGGTTAATTCAAGTGAATGCCCTTAAGGAGATGCCCCATGTGAGTCATATTTAAAAGATAAAATCAATAAGTCACCTTTTGTAGGACAATTGGAGCATGCTACACATCTCTTGGATTTGATTCATTTACATGTGTGTGGCCTATAAGTGTGTAGTGCAAGAAGAAATTATTCTTACTTCATTACTTTACTAACGATTATAGTCATTTTGGGTATGTGTATTTGATGAGACACAAGTTTAAAGCTTTTGAAAGTTCAAAGAATTTAAACATGAAGTAGAAGAAGCAAACAAGTCACAATATAAAAGTCCTACAATCTGATCGAGGACGTGAATACTTAAGTGATAAGTTCTAGATCATTAAAAGAGAATGAGATTCTCTCTTAGTGGACTCCACCTCACACACCTCAACTTAATGGGGTAGCTGAACGTAGAAATAGTACCTTATTAGATAGAGTATTGTTCTATGATGAGTTTTATTGATCTTCCTTCTTCATTTTGGAGATATGCCCTGGAGACAGCAGCAAAGATTTAAATAAAGTATCATCAAAGTCAGTGCCAAAAACCTACATGAGATATGGTATGGTAAACCACCATCTTATTCTTATATGAGAGTGTAGAGATGCTCTGCTTATGTAAAAATGCTGGGAGGCAACAATTTGGGTATGAGATCCACCTTTGTAAATTTGTGGGATATCTTAAGGAAATAATGGGATATTACTACTATGGACCCAAATGAACAAAAGATGTTTGTTTCAAAAAATGCAATTTTCTAGAAAGGGAATTCCATTTAGATAGAAAATGCGAGTTCATGAACTTGAAGAAGTTTCAGAGATACCACAAAATATGGAAGCATAAGATCAAATAGAACCTTTTATAATAAAACTCTAACAAGATCTGAAAGGATCTCAAGACCTCCTGAGAGGTACACCTTTGTACATGAGTTCAAGTAATTTTAACCAAAAAGAGTTAAATCTCAGGCAGAGGTGATGAGTGGAACTCTTGAAAGATTTATGACTGTACTATTGAGTACCATCTAAGGAAGGCCAATGTGGTGGCAGATGCCCTGAGTAGGAAATATTCAAGTGTGTTGTATAATCTTAGGGCAGTATATATGCCTATATTATTAGAGCTTAGATCTTTTGATGCACAGTTATCAGTGATGGATCAAGGAAAGTTGCTAGCAAGATTTCAAGTTAGACCCACATTGGTAACTTAGATTAAGGAAGCCCAAGTCAAGATCCACAATTAGTAAAGATTTTGAAAGAAATTGAAAATGGGCAAACCAATGAATTCAAAGTGACAGAAAATGGTACATTGAGGTTTAGAGACAGAGTTTGTGTGCCTCAGGTTGGTGAGCTTAGGAGACAAGTTATAGAGGAGGCACATTGTTCAGCATATGCTATACATCCTGGGAGCACCAAAATGTATCATAACCTTAAACAAAAATACTGGTGGAGTGGAATGAAGAGAGAGATTGCGGATTATATTTCTAGATGCCTTACTTGCCAGCAGGTAAGGCAAGCATCAAGACTTCAAGGGCAAGCTACAGTATTGCCTATCCCAGAATGGAAATGGGAATATATCACTATAGATTTTGTGGTAGGTTTACCGGTGACCAGGAGAGGGAATGATACAATTTGGGTCGTTGTGGACAGGTTAACAAAGCCAGCACATTTTCTACTAATTAAGAGTTCCTTCTCTTTGAATAGATTAACTAAGATATTATGGATGAGATAATAAGTAGACATGGGTTGCCAGTGTCCATAGTATCAGATAGAGATCCAAGGTTTACATCTAGGTTTTGGCCGAATTCACAAAGAGCTATGGGCACTAAGTTACATTTTAATACAGCTTTTCACCCATAGACAAATGGCCAATCAGAAAGGACTATCCAGACTCTAGAGGATATGTTACGGGGATATGTGATAGAGTTTTTAGATAGCTGGGATGAGCACCTACTTTTGATGAGTTTGCTTATAATAATAGTTATCATTCTAGTATCGGTATGGCACCCTATGAGGCTTTGTATGAGAGGAGGTGTAGGACATCTATATGTTGGGATAAGGAAGGTGAAAGAAGTTGCTAAGGCTAGAGATTGTACAGAATACAGTGGAGCAGATCAAGGTGATTAGAGACAAATTGAAAGTAGCCCAAGATAGACAAAAGAGTTATTCAAACCTGAAACATAGAGATGTAAATTTCGAGGTCGATGATAAAGTGTTCCTAAAAGTTTCTCTATGGAAGGGTGTGTTTAAGATTTGGTAAGAAGGAAAAACTAACCCCTAGGTGCATTAGATCTTATAAGATCATTGAAAGGGTGGGGCCAGTTGCTTATAGGTTAGCTTTGCCACCCGAGCTTTCACAGATACATAGCGTGTTTCACGTTTCCATGTTAAAGAAGTATCTGTCAGATCCTACCCATGTCCTACAACCCCACTAGTGGAATTAAGAGAAGATTTAACTTATGTTGCGGAGCCGGTTCAAATTCTAGGCATCGAGGTGAAACAACTTCGTTCCAAGAAAGTGCCACTTGTTAAGGTATTATGGAGAAGTCCGAATAAGGAGGAAATAACTTGGAAACGAGAGGATGACATGAGGACCTAGTATCCCTATTTTTTCCCGACAACAGGTAATTGAATTTTGAGGACGAAATTCTTTTAAGGAGGGTAGAATTGTAACACCCAAACCAAATATTTCTTTGAAATTTTCTTAAACAATTTTGCTTGGGTTTTAAATTTATTTAGAGGAAATTTTGAGGAGTTTAGAAAGGAGAGAAGTGTATTGGAAGTTTTGGGAGAAAGTAAGTTTTTGTAAAAAAAATAAAAATAAAAAATTTATTGTAGCGCAATTACTGTAGTAGCGCTGCAGCACGCCATAGCACTGTACACTGAAATTTGGGCGCTATAGCGGTAGCCATTGGAATTGGTCCGCTGTAGCGTGCTAGACTGCGCCGCAGCGCTGGGTCATCATTTTTGGCATTTTCCTTAAAAATTTGAGATTTTTAACCTTTTCAAAGACCCTTAAACCCTCTTAAACCCCTAGAATTACAAACCAAAGATTTGGGAGATATCTTAGGATACCCAAAATTCAGCCAAAAATTTATAAGGGTTAAAAATGAGGATAATTTTAAGTAAGAGAATGATGGTCTTTTTAGCTTATAAACCATTGCTTTAAAAGTTTGGGGGAGCCTTCTAGGGCTCATTTTTCACCACTTTAGAGAGAGAAACAGAGGGGAAGAGCAAATAAGAGAAAATGAAGGAGAAGGTATGTAAAATGGCCAAATCTCAAACCCTCTTTGATTTTTCTTCAATATTTCTATATGTTTAGCTTCCTCTCTTTGTTTTATAATTTTTAATCTATGTAGATTTCGTATTTTGATGTTGTTGTGTGTTGTAGAGAGAGAAAAGTAGGTTTAACCTCACCCATAGGATATTTTACATAAATCTTGATATTTCTAGTTAATGTACCCTTAGATATTATTTTGCTTAAGGATATCTATATTTTTATGGTTGGATTAAAATTTGAATGAAGTGTTTATGGTTGAAATATGAGAGAAATGGATGAGACGATGTTGAAATGGGATAAGGGCATGTTTGGTTGGAGCTAAAATAAGGGGAAATGGAATAAGGGCATGTTTGGATGAAACCCAAAAGTTAAAGAGTGAGAAAAATTGTATTTAGACGAGTTAGGGTATAGTTATTGTTTTTATATGATGTATTTAGAGCTTTTCTCTAATGTATGTGTATCCCACTTGTAAGAGAAGATACCCTAGTTACTTCAGACCCTAGACCTACAGTTCTAGGAGCACCTTTATAGACTCCTTTTACATGGTGAATGAGAATCTTTCTAATCTTAGTTATTTTTCCAAACTATGATTTGCAATAAGCAATGATCATTTTAAACCCAATTATATGTTACTAGTATGAACATGAAAAATAGTCTGGCTATGATTTGATTTTGGTTATATGCTCAATTTGATGATTTTCATGAGTTTATATCATTTCGTGCCTTAGCACCTAGACCGTGATGTTGGACAATCATCTGGGACTGGTGGCAGTTTTACTTGCATTATATGATATATGTATATTTATTTTCCTAGTGAAAGGAATCATGCGCCAAAGATTGTGTTAGTTTGGCCGGAGAGTGGCGACCCCTAGCACGAGCTATATAGTGTAGTAGCACCCGACATATTTATATTTTACCCAATGATGGTCCATATTATGTTTTATAATTATACTACCCCCAGACACCTTCAGTTGTGCACATTAACTAGAGTATATATGTGAATATATAATATGTTCTTTATGATTTTTCTATAATGTCCATGAAGGCTTTCATGATTCATGCTTATACTCTCTTATGTTTTATAACTTGGCACAATAACAAATTAGCTTTTATACTATTGAGAATCTATTATTATGCCTTATGACATGAAAACTCTGCGAAAATGTTTATATTGTTTAAATAGACACAAAAACTGACTGTTTCTACTAGGATTGGTTAGATTACCATTCACTAAGACGTTTATCTCACCCACTAATTTTTTCCCCTGCAGATGCTGAGACATTAAGTTGAAACCTTAGTATTCATATTGCTTGTGTTTTGCTCACTTTATAGCACCAAGTTGGGCCAGACTATTGGAGACTATTTTGATTTTATTTTGTAAATATGAGTTATGTATGTTGGGAGATTGTTTTATATTTTGGATAACTATAAACAAGTTATGTTGTTTTGAGACCTTATGGATGATTATAGCTGATTTAGTGTTATGTGACGGTTTTTGAGCATGACAGGTTGATATAGAATTTGTGGATATTTATTAAACATGTTGATACAAGATGAGTTATTGCAAGTTATGTATAGTTTGTGAAATTGTTGATTTAAGCAAGTACTCAGACATAGGGCCTTAAAGCCAACTTAAGAGGGGTTACAGTAGTCGACATGCTGCCGGATTTTACCTGGCAGTATGATAGTTATTGCCTCACTGTCATACCTCTTAAGGTTTGAGAGGTTGGGGTATAATGCTTAATGTAATAAAAATATTGCAATTTGCTCATAATTTATTAAAATATACAATACAATCATATATTAATAGAAAATACAATACAATCATGAAAATATATAATGTCTAACAAATTTTCATTCGAGACCTAGGCTTTGCAATAGTAAATGTATGTTCATCAATCCACAATTTGAAAACATAACCAAACCCTCCCTCACCAAGAAGACTCTCTAGACAAAAGTTTCTGGTGGCATTTTTTAACTCGTTAAATGAGATGACTTTCACATTAAGAGATGACAAAATTTCTCTTTTAGTTCGGGAAATAAAAAGACTCTCAATGCTCCTTTCACTGGAAAATGGCAATGTCAGGCTAGAACAGAATAATGCAGTGCTGGTTTTGCTACCATTTTTTAAGGCCCTTGAAATTGACTAGGAAAAAAAGAGAGAAAATGAATAATTACAAATGACAAATTTTAGTTAAATTATAACTCCAATTTGTTTTCTTTTTTGAGAAGAATTCAATTTCACTGGCCCTCTTATGAAAAATGTCAATAATATTTTTTTAAAAAAACTCTTATTTATTTATTTATTTATTTTCACCCAATCATGATAATTCATGTAATAATTCCCAGGTCCTATTGGGACATCCAATTGGATATAAGATGATACATCAAAGATCCACTCCAGCAACCGATACGTAGCAATTACTGCAGCCTTCTTATTGTACAAGGTGTTTTTTTGCTGGGTTGATGCTGGGTACCCTAGCAGCTGACACGTGGAGTGTTTAGATAAAAGTTTTAGTTTTTTTTATTTTATATTTATTTAATTAAATAAAAATTGATTGTTTAGATAAATTCATTACATTTAATTTTTCTTTGTCCGTATGCCTTCGTATGAACCATAGATGTGTTACTATCCAGCATGTGAATGGCACATTGGTTAAAAAAAAAAAAAAAAAAATGTATTATTCATTGGTGAAAGGGGAAAAATTTCACCTTCTCAATAAATTGAACTGTTGGAGAAGCAACCAATTGATATTCATCAAACAAAAAGGTGGCCCCACCTTCTTCACTAACCATCAACAGGTTCCTTCTGCGATAAATCATATGAAGACAAGAACTTAGCTTTCAACCCAGTATCAGATAGCTTATCCACCATTTTCTTTAACACAACCGATTCTTTGGAAGTTCGCTTCCTATTGATTAAAACATCAACAATCAGTATGACCAAGGACTTCAATCCGTATTTTGAGGAACAAGATCCTTGTTAGAAAACCAATGAACACCTCTGACAAACTTACCATCATCTAGTGCTTTATATATATACATATTACGGAAGATTAAGAGGGTGTTGCGTTATATACATATTACCTCACATCGCAACGCATGGGCAAGACCCTTGACAGAGACCCAAAATCATGCCTCAGGTGTTGGAAAAACTACTTGAAGCCATTTTTAAACTTATAATTCACTTCTAAAGTGGTTATGTACACGTAAGTGCCCAGAATTAGAATCAATCCTAAGGTCAATATCTTATTTTATCCCCAAGTTATTGCTAACAATTTGACTCTGCTCCTGCAAGATTATATGGCTGAAAAATTGGAAAAGGTAGGGGAGAAAAAAATCTGTACTTCAAGATTTATGACAAAGAATTTCGAAGGAATGTGGCAAAAAATCAAAGGATCATGTGCAGGTTCCACAAGAATACAGTCAAATGAGGCTTCTGCCAGTGATATCCTGGATCAAACGAGGCTTCAAATAATATGGGGTTTTAACTATGAAGATTGCATTGTTGAAGATAGGGGTGGTCATGGTTAATGTGTCTCCTCCAATAACCCTTGTATTTCGGAAGCCCAATATCCAACCATGGCTTCCTAACTCCATCAAAGTGTATAACTGCTGCCTTTTCGATGTCCTGCTGCTTGACACCCGAGTCATAACCTAGCCCAAGTACATGCCATGACCTGTCCAAACCCACTGTATGATTGTAGAAGATGACCCAACCTATGGGCAAGCTACCCCCTTTCCACAATGGCCTCCTATGCCCCTGCACGACCACCAACAGAGCACTTACTAGCTATGCTTTTAACAAACAATATGTGCATATACATAATTATACTAGAAGATAAAAAGATAAACAACTACAGATTAAATAAAGTTAGTGTGTGTGTGTGTGTCTCTCTCTCTCTCTCTCTCTGTAGAAGTGTAGCAGAGATGTGGGTCTGTTCTAGGAGATTTTTCTGTTCTTAATTTCCAATTTGCCTCTTTAAAAACAGAAAGCACTGAAAATCTTGAAAACTCTATTCTGATCATATTTCATATTATTATCATTTTATAGCAAAAATACATTTCTAAGAATTTGAAAACAACTTCTTGTCATTATCTGCAAATGGGCATATTTTTCAAAAATTTCCCCAGAAGCAGTCTTTAAAAACAAAGATACTCTAGAAGAACAAAAGGGTGTTTCAACAGGTCTTAGTCGAACACCGAAAGAAAGCAAACATTATACAAACAAAAAAGGGTGTGAGCTATATCAATTGCAGGTATTTGTGGTGGACACCAGTTAGATCTTGTCTCCTCCACTCACGCAGATCGAACACATCCATCCCAAAAGCCCATGTGCATGCCTTGTGATCAAACCTCTTCGCCACCACTAGATCTGAAAACTTGACTAAAGCATCCATCCTGCTCCATCTCATCCATCCTGCTCCACCACTGATCTTCGAGCCGGTTAATGCAACACCATCTCATGCTCCGCCTCCGTGGATGAGTTCACTACCAGGTGATGGAAGATGCAGATTTGAGAATTGAAGGGGAAAAGAGTCGAAGGGCTTTGGAATTTAGGCTAAAGGACAAAGTTTTGAGAGAAGAGAGGGAGAGGGAGGAGGGAAAAAGGGAGGGAGAAAGGGAAATGAAATTTTAGAGAGGGAGAAAGTGAGGGCAACGTGGGATTGCTACTTTTGGGAGTATTCTTTTAGATAAGAGGGGAAATGAAATTTTAGAAGTGTTTTTACAAAATTACTAATTTTTGTTTGATTATTTTCAGAAAATTTAATTATAAATATATGAAATCAAGGTCATCATTTTGTTAATTTTTATTCTTACAATTTTTTATTGGGTTTAAAAAGTTATAAAATTAGATTTTTCATTTTTCTTAATTTTTATTTTCATCTTAAATTACTTAATTTAAAAATTATAAATTATAAATTCAAAAGAAACTAACTTTTTTGGGCTTAATTGAAGAAATTAAAAGTTTAGGGATTTAATAGAAATAAATATGCTTAAGAGTTACAATTTGAAGAAAAAATAAAATTACAATAAATAATTATATATATATATATATATATACGGGGGTTTGGGACAAGGTGAGTACTCTAGTAGTCAAACCCAAACTCAGACCCGCCTAAATACCTATTTAATTATTTAGACCGGAACCTGAATCCATTTAGTAGTATTCAAACTCGGACCTATCCAGATAATTTTCTGAGGCACCTAACGAGTCTCGATCCAATTACCATTTGTAACTAAAGCCAAGAGTGTACATATTCAATATTATTAAATTATTTTTGGTCCACTTATACTTAGATATATATTAATTTAATATTTTCATATATATATATATATATTTATTCTTACCTTTTTTGTTTTTATTTTTTAAAGTATTCAATATTATATATATTAAATTTCATAAAGTTTCATATATTAAAATATTCAATATTATATATATTAAACCTATCTTCACTCTTGTATGGTAACGTCAAGGCGCAAAATCTTCCAAGCTCGATCCATAATGGCAATGGGTTAACTTTCTGTAAGCAACACAATATACAATATACATCTATGAGTGCATCCTTCCTCTATTCTAGCGATTTGGGAGATTTAACAGCTCATGTGAGGAAGAAAACTAAAGAATTGTCTTGAGATTATTTTTTTATTACGTATGTAATGTAATTGTAATTATTCTAATTCATGTAATTGTCTTTGCTACTATGTTACAAAGGATGAGACAGTGAGAGATCGATTACAAAAATGATATCCCCAAAGCACATTTCAAAATATCGAGGTTCTTACAACTCTGCTATATTGAAATAAAGCTTATGCCCATCTCGTGTTTTTTTTTGTTACATTATTGGAAGCCCCATTTTAGACCTAATTGTTGGCTTTGTTCTCCAAGAAAACTGATTAATTGTAGCATATTTAGTTAATTCGGGTCTTCTATGTCCCTAGTGTTCTATGAATTACTAATGAAAAACAGTCTCAGTCACTAAATTAGCAATAGAAAAAATGCTTCATTGTTAAATTAGCAGTGAATTACCAATGAAATTCACGGTTCTGTTACTAAATCAGCAACGAATTACCAACGAAACTTATGCTCGTTGCTAAATTAGCAATGGATTGGTGTTTGTTGCTAAATTAGCAACGAATTTACCGACGGACACCAATCTATTACTAAATTAACAATGGATTTATCAATGGATTGGTGGTCCGTTGGTCATTTAGCAACATATTTGCTAACGGATCTATGGTCCATCGCTAAATTACCAATAGATTTGTGGTTTGTTACTAATTTAGTGATGGATTTAGCGATGGATTCATGCTCCATCGCTAATTTAGCAACCGATTACCAACGGAACTTATGTCTATTACTGATTCAGCGATGGATTACTAACGGACTAGCGTTTCGTCATTGAATCAGTGATGGATTATCGACGAAGAGTTTTTCGTCATTGAATCAGCGATGGAATACTAATAGAAAGTTTATTCATCGCTGATCAACAACAAATTACCGATGAAAAGTTTGTCCATGGCTAAATCAGTGACGAATTACCGACGGATTGGTGTCTGTCACTGATTTAGCGATAGATTACCAATGAAAAGTCTTGTCCGTCGCTAAATCAACGATGGATTACTGATGAAAAGTTTGTCTATCGCTGAATTAGCGATGGATTACTGACGGATTGGTGTCTGTCCCTGATTTAGCAACGAATTTACTAATAGATTGGTAATCCGTCGCTAATCCATCGCTAATCTGTTGGTAATTAGCGACGGACTATTCTGTCACTAATTTTTTATTGCTAAAACCTTGTTTTCTTGTAGTGTAGAAAGGAATATTAGATTGATTTTATCTTTATCCTTATTATGATTAGTATAAATAGCAAGTTTAGGAGTAGGTTAAAGGCATCAAGAGTTTATTAATCATTTTGGCCATAGGCTTGGTTTAAGGAAGTTTAACTCTTTGGACGGTGTTGGTTATTGGTATCAATTTATCATTTTTTTAATAAATTTATTGTTAGATACCAATCACTATCTCTCAATTATTTTGACATGCTAGATACCAAAATGGAGGCATGGATTGAAGTTTTGGAGAGAATGGTACATGCTATAGAGGCTAGATTAGAGGCGAGGTTGGAAGCTTAATTGAAAAAGGTAAACAAGTAACAATTTATTTCCAACGAGTCAAAGCCTGAGTCACAAATTTTTACCAAGGGTCTTACTGCGCTTCCTAGCCCATTGGAGGCATTCTTTTCTAGTTCAGCCCCCATACGCACTTCAATTCCTACCACAGTTATTTCACTCATGCCATCACCATAAGAGGTTCTCTCCTTATCAACGTTTTTGTTGAGTTCATTATTGTCTACACCCATTGATCAATAATTTCCATGGAATGCTATCAAAGGCTAATCCAGTCACAAAAACAATATTGAAAAAATCCAAAACCCAAAATAAATAAATATTGAGAAAAAAATTATCTCAATTAACCAACATAAGCAAGAACATGCTTTACAATTGGTTTAAAAAAGAACCCTCAAGACAACCCTAACAAGATTTCAAGAAAACAAACCAGTCTCCCTTTATGCCTCAATCCCAAACTACCAGAATTCCCAACTCTTAACACTCGGATAGCATGAACAATTGAACAATGCTTAAATCTTGTCAGAAGTAAATGATCACCAAATGCTTTCACAAAGTTTTGATTGAATCTCAGATGATTTGAATGAATTTCACATACCCTAGGATGGCACTCAAATCTCCCTTTTATAACTCTAAGAGTCCAAAAGGGCTTAAAAGTCATTCAAAAGGTTGAAAATCCTAAAAATCTTAGAAAAACATGAAAAATCACTCTACAGCGCATCTAGTAGGCTCCGGAGCACTATAGTGCGCTAATTTTATTGAGTAGTACACTATGACAAACTCTAACTTGCTATAGCAGGCTCTACCACATGTTGATATAGTAACTATTACAATAACTTTTTTTTAAACAAAATTGATCCATTCTCAAACTCTTAAATGGGAACTCATCGATCCCAAACCCTCAAATATCCTCTCGGATTATACCTTCCCTTATTATTGGGAACCAACTTCTAATTGTTCTTAACTTTGATGGTGCGAATAGGGGGTTGGTTTGGAGCTCATGATGGGTTATCCTACTTGGGCTTGGGCTTGGGCTTCCTTGGAGCCCGTTGTTGGGCTTTGTGGGCCTTGCATTTTTGTCAGGTTTCAGGCTTCCTTCTTAGTCTCTTTTGACCCGTGCACCAGTTTTAACCCCATGTATTGTAGATTTGGACTAGTATCTAGCTCTTCTTTGTCACGGATGGATTCTTGTGGCCATGCGACTATTGTGCGACACCGCCATTTTGGGTTGGTTGCAAACATCTCTGTGACTTATTTTGAAGTATCCTTGTGAATGATAAATATTTTACCATCCTTCCTGAGTTGTTACTTTTGTTCTCGGTGATAGTAAATGACATCTCTCTCCCATTGGTAAGGGTTGTGAATAATGATGAGGCACACGTCTACCAGTACCACCTCATATACTACCTCTTTAATGAATTGTTTGGTAGTAGCAAAGCAGATCTTGTGCTGCCGCTCAACTTTTTTGTCTATACCATCATGGTTTCATCCCAAGGTATAAAAGTGAGGATGTGGTGTCGCCTCCAAACCCAACCTTTCCATGAAACATTTGAAGATTAGGTTTTTTTTCATATCCTATGTCAAAGATGGCATTGACGACCTCATTCTTTACCTACACTCGCATAGTGAATAGCTCCTCTTTGACCTTAGGTGGTGGCAACGATTTTGGGTTTGTCTCCTTCGATCGAACCATCAAGGGTAAACTTGAGTCTAGGTCAGCCATGTGCCCTACCTACAAGGAATCTTCGACTGTGACTCAGGTGGTGATCCACTTTTCGCTATCATTTCTCTTTGGTGCCAACTCTGAATGAAGCTTCCAATAGCCCTATTCATCATGTCTGGATTTCTGGTAATAATAATAGTATTTATTAGATGTAAAAGGGTTAGAAACGAAATTACCCTTCTTGCTTTTAATTTCAATTTTTTGTTATTGTGAACCTAATTCTTTTGCTCAATAGTCATGTCAATTGTGCTAGCTCCAATTAGATCATGGATCGAGAATAAATTGAGTTGTGTCTGTATGCTCTCTTGAAGTCCAAAAGTGTATTTTGTATAGGTGGTTAGATCCCACAATGATACCTAAAGTGTCATCGCTTGCTTTTGGAACTCGGTAGTATACTCTTGCATGGTCTAATACTTCTTTTGATTTTGACACTCCTCTACATGGCCCATGTGATAAAATCTTGGCGGATGAGTTGCTTGAGCTATTTCCAAGTGATATCCTTGATGTTTTCACTCTTAGCCATCACCTTCCACCAAGCTTTGGCATGTTCTATCATCTTAAGAGGCATCTGAGCATTGAAAAATTTCTGCAGTGTAAAATATGTTTCTAATCGATCAGCCAAGAATCGGCCAAGAATCTAATCTTTCAGGATCAATGGAACTATCATACACCGGTATCTCTACCTTGGCCTCTACTCTGAACAACTCTTTGTCTAGATTGCTATCCTTTTTGTCATTGCTATCCTTCTTATCATTGTCATGTTTAGTAATGGCAAGCCGAGCTGATGTGTGAGGCATTTCCTCCCTTTTTGCTATTAAAGTGGTAGTGGTCTCTCCTTGTCTCTGGGATACGTTTATTTGACTTTGTATCTATGACATAATAAGAGTCATGTTGTTGGATAGTTTTTCGACCTTCTTTTCAAAACTAGAGTTTACTAGGGCTAAACCCTCGTCGTTGTAGTTATTGGTAGCCATTCGGTTGACAAATTTCTAAACTGGTCAACAACGAGATTATAACATTGACAAAGGTTCTATGGTAGCTTTATAACTGGATTTGTTTGTACCATCCACAAGGGAAGGAACAATACTCTGATACCAAAATGCGATCAATAATTTCCATAAAACGCTATTGACGCTAATTGGCTCACAAGCACAATATTGAAAGGATCCAAACCCAAGATAAATAAATATTAAAAAAACTGATCTCAATTAATTAATATAAGTAATAATGTGCTTTACAATTGGTTTATAGAAAAACCCTTAAGACAACCTTACTAAGACTTCAAGAAAACAAACCCGTCTCTCATCACGCCTCAATCCTGGACTATTGGAATTCTCAACTCTTAACCCTTGGACAATTGGAATGGTTGAACAATGCTTAAATCTTGTTAGAAGCAGAGATCTTGTAACTGGATGAATGATCACCAAGTGTTTTCACAAAGCTTTGATTGAATCTTGGATGATTATGATAAATTTTGGATACCCTAAGATGACACTAAAATCTCCCTTTTATAGTCTTAAGAGTCCAAGAGGGTTTAAAAGTCCTTCAAAATGTTGAAAACCCTAAAAACTTTTTTAAAAAATGTAAAAAGTCAATCTATGGCATGCCATAGTGGGCTTTAGCGTACTATAGCATGTTGATTCCAGTGAGCAACGTGCAATGGTACACTCTAGCTCACTATGGCAAGTTGCAACATGTTAAAACATGCTACTACGATATTGTTACAGTAACTGCTATAATAACATTTTTTTTTAAACAAAACCTATCAATTCTCAAACTCTGAAATAGACACTCATCAATCCCAAACCTTTCAAAGATCCTCCCGGATCAGCCACTGTCAAAGTTAGTCCAATAACAACTCTTCCCTCGGTTTCTCCTCCACTAACAATCCAACAACTTCTCCCCAAAGAATGCCAAATGGAATCAATAGGGACGGCTCTTGCTAATATGGATGAGATTCTTCATAAACTAAAATTTAAATTGCAAAGAGCTTGGAATCAAATGGGCAAAGTGCGAATAATCATCGCTAAGGTATTTCGTATTCAATGGGAGATTAAGTCTTTCTCAAGTTCCGACCTGATCGAAAAACTTCCATATCCTCTAAGTTGAAAAAGGTTGTTGGAAATTATTTAGTAAAATTAGTATCTATACCGATCAATGAAGAATTTATTTTTGAAGTTGAGGTTAACACTTCAATTCATCAGTTTGCGGCTTTTAAAGAATGACCATGGGAGGAGGTAACTCAAGTTGATTGTAATCATTTTATTTAGCAGTTTTGGGATTCCGCTTGAAAACATTACAATTATTTATCGGGTCAGGATATTATTTAAGATAAATATCCAAAAAAGATAAATATTGACTAGGTTTGAAATTTAAATTAAGGTTATTTAAGATTAGAAATAAGAATTGAGTTGTTTATATAGAAATAAATATTTGATTGATTTTTTTTTTCCTTATTAAGATTAGTATAATTAATAACGTAAAAGTATGTTCAAAATATCAAGAATTTATTAATTATTTCATCCATAAACATGATTTGAGAGATTTTAACTTCTTGAGCAATATCGATTATTGGCATTAATTGATTTTTTTTATAAATTTATTGTTCAACACCATTATTCTCTATCAGAATTACTGATGATTCCAAATATGATAAGAACTAGGTTGGTACGGTGAAAAGCTCATAAAAGCAGCAAGCAAACTCAATGTTCAACTTGAAAAAAGTGGCACACTGGTACATCCAAAGAGGAGAGCATCAAGTTACACTCAATATAATAATTCCCAGATTCTAACATGAAAGATAAGTTGCACTTCACATTAAAATACAATAGATGAAAATTTCTCCCACACTTACCCAGTATCAAACCGTTCTACCCGTACTGGTCTACTACTAACTCCTAAACTGCATATCTAGCTCATTGTGTGCAATGCTTTCCTACACGTGAATTTATGAACATCTTTTTAATTATCCCCTGGCACCGCTGCGAAAGCCAGTTGAAGATTTTATTCAGTTCAGCCTAGATCAGGGACAGTGAAATACTCCTCATCCTCAATTGGGATTTCAATTCTAGGCTTCTTGTGGCCGTTCCCAATCATGTTAAATTTGGTGGCTTTGTATGAAGCAGTGTTGCTTATCTGTGATGTTGGAAGCTGAGGAACTTCAGCAGGACCTAATGCCTCACCAGGGACTTGGTCACCAAATAGACCAATGTCCGCAAACCATTCTAGCTCCGAAAACTCAAGTTGACCTTTCTGCATACACAATAAACATGGCAATCCATATTAACAAAAATAATCACAAGGAAACAACACCAAAGCAGCAGGAGGTTCACATGGCATGTTCAACAGAGTTACAATGTATCCACAGTAAGTTTTTATTCATTGCGTTTAACAGTGCGAGAAGTATATGAAATAAATGAATAACATGTCAGTGTATAAGGTAGAGCTCCTTGTCAATGGTTAGTATTTACAAGCACTAAAACCAACGTGGAGGCCTCATTTTTCTAGAAAGATGCCTCAAATTTACAGTCTGGACACAACAAAATGTACAGATATTAGTTACCAAAAAAGATTCTAGAGATATTACATTTTTTTTTATTTACCATATGTACTATCAGAGTAGATGGGCTTTAGATTCAGTACTTCATGTCAGCTTGAGGAATCTTGCATATTAATGGACTACTAGGCTTGCACATAACAATGGAGCTAGGTGCTGTCTAACCTAAAAAAATGGTGGGCGGTAAACAAGTATTCTGTATCAAGTTTCACTAGCCAATTTCCGCATCAGGCCATGCACATGGAAATTATCAATTTGCTCTTGGTAGACACATGGACATAGCTAAATATTATATTTCTTAAATACTCTTCCTATTGTTTAGGATGAATTTATCTTTACCATTGAGCTATCCATGCATGAATATGATGTCTTGCACATAGTTCTCATATCAAATTGAAATATTATTTCATGGGAAATTCTTGTGATTAAAATATTTTTGAATGTTTTTATCTCATTCCTAATTCAAGTGTTTTAACTGTTTGATGCAATCAACACTTAAAGTGAGTTCACGGCAACAAAGATTTTTAATTTTCAAAGTTTTTCAAGCAATAATACCATCCACTCTAACTATGGAAGTCTAGGAAATTTGATTTTAAAATGTGCTTTGAAGAATATAGGTTTGGCCCAACATGAACATCAACAAGCTAAAGATGTGGCATGTTGTAATAATAATTAAAAAATGTATTGTTATATATACATGAGAGTATAATATCATTCACTTATTTACATTATAGTATTATACCAGATATTATATCTTTTTTCCACATTTTATTTATTGAACACAGAGCACAAACAGTTTTGATACCTATTTGGAGTGGTATAACAACAAATAAGCTAAAACTAGTAGGCCATAGATTTCTGAAATTGAAAATGCCTAAAGGATGAGGCCTTAATGATAATAAATTCATACTGTTTTGAGTTTTTGTTTAAACTTGCAATATATTTTTGTGAAATTGACACACTTGAGGCGAAGTCTATATCAACAGTAAGACTGTATCTTTGTAATTGGAAGGTCATGGTTTTGACTTGGGGAAATAACCTTAGCAGAACAGGGGCAAGGTTTATTTGATGACTCTCCTACAACCCTTGCAAAGTGGGAGCCCTGAGTTTTCCAGGATACCCTTCTTTTCTATGTCAGGGGCTTGTTCATGCCCTCATGTTAGAAGCATGTCCATCGTTAACATAAGTATTAATAGTTGAAGCATATCCAACTTTGACAGTGACAAAAAGCCCTTGAAGGTTCCGTCTAATTAAATAATGTCATGCTGTTCCGCATATGTTGGGCATAATTGATGGCTGAATTGGATGTTTCAGCAGGATGGGTTTGGATAATTAATTTCCCCAACCCCAACCCAAATAGGTGTTAGTCCACCACCAAAATTTGATCCAATAGCATTATATTGGGTGTGTTTATCCTTAACCTATCTCCAGTCTTAAACTCTTTTCATGTGTATGACAAATCCAACTGCATCCATTCCTTTTTGGTCCTTTCTATAAACATTAATATGACTATGTCTTATTTATCCAATCATATTCTTAGTACCAAGCTTCCTATTCTCCCTTTATTTAACCTGTGAATCACATATTGGCATAAAACAAACTGTTTGAGGCTTTTGCAGTTTACTCTTTTAAGGCAAAAACCGTAATCTACTGTTAAATCAAAAGTTATAAGAAAGCCTATCAAAAATTCCAAAAGTTTCCTAAGACATTGAGATCCATATAACATTTGCAATAATCAATCACTGACCTAGAAGCCACAATTTTAAATCATAAAAACTATTGCAAATTTTATTTTATTTAAATTAGCTATGCCCATTGTTACACTTGTTTTATGTTTGTACTACTTTATGCCTTGGTCCAGAAATATACACATCACACCATGATCCATGTTCTCATGAATGTTAGACATCAATTCTTTTACAAGATTCTTCACAATTATTTTGTTGGTAAGATTCTAAATTAGCCATTAGGTGTCACAAAGTGTCCAAAATAATTAATTGCCTTCATATTGGAACATATCTAAAAAAGTGTCTAAAATATTAGTAGTTAAGAAGTGTAAACATTTCAAATGTGTGTGATACTAACACAAAAGCCTCCGAGAAGTATGTGCTTTATAGATGTGAACTAAAATATGACATCTATTCTTTAACTATTGCTTACTCACCATAATTATGAAATATCCTCCATTCCTTCCAAGACTATTTCTTGGAATCCACTGCTCTCATCATTTTTTTATCCAATGCTATGGAACCACCTAGAACCATGTAATCAATTAAGTAGTGTTGACTTCATGTGAATACCTCTGTTACCTTGTCAGATGAATCAAAATCTGAGAACTGCAATAAATCATCAACAGCCCAAGAGGGTGAGGTCAAGCTAGAAGATTGGGGGTTGGCATTTTCATGGCAATCTTTTGGGCACTCTGATTAGGTGGGTTTGGCTCTTGATGGCTCTTCTCGCTGGTCTTTGTGCAACTCGAGTTGACAGCAACACGGATTCCAGTGGCCAGGAACCGCTGGTGTTTTGCAGAGAGGCTGCTGGCAGCATGTATTGGCTCATCACAATCCTGGCAAAATAAAGCCCTGTCTTCCACACAAAAAATGAAAGCAGGCTTCTCCTGCATAAAATACAAATAGAAAATTAGAAGAATTCTAATTGGTATACAACAGAACAAAGCCTCAAGGCAAACACACTTGCACTGAAATATACCAGGTTTGCAATTAGAATACATCGCGTTAACCATTTTGCAACTTACATAGTCCTCAGTTGATCTGATTAGTCAATGGGAGTAGCATTCATCAATACCAACATATATAGGGCAGAACTAGACTAGGCGTAATATTTGATTTGAAGTAATGTTGCAATCTTTATGTCAATATTATTCTTAACAAATTATTATTATTCATCACCACGTGTAAACCACCCTCTTCTAAAATTATCTTGATAACTGGTCTAAAAAACCAATAGTTTCTTTCTATTATAAAAATAAAAATAAATTTTACCTATATCAAGTTATGCACGCACGTTAGCATGCCTAGAGTACTACACTAACTTCAGAACCAAGTGATTTAGTAAATCTGGGGTATGGTCATTTTTTATGTTTTCCGCAAGTATTGCTACATTAGCTTGTGATTGACTATTATTTCAAGCTTCGACCCACGAAAACAGAAATTGGCGTCCTCGAATGGTGATTGATCAGTTTGTAAGAAGAGGTCCGTACTCGTGCATCCATTAAAGTGATAACAACTGAAACTTTGGTGGCCTACTTTATAATAAAAACATATTCTTCCTGACTTTGTAATTATCTACACTAAACAGACTAAAAGGTCAAAGATGTAATCAGAAATTTTATTACTGATTATGATCACTAAGTCAAAGGGCGTATTTATGAATTAATCAATCATATAGTGAAAAACAAAACATCAAAACAAGCGAAGCCTAGTATATATCAATCAGTGAATAAACAAATCCATAGAAGAACAGATACAGAGTGAAGCGGGAATTACTTGGCAAATGTCACATGGAGGGAGTTTGTTGGAGAGGCATTGAAGAAGCAACCTCTGGTGCTTGCTTGCGAGCTTGTTTGCTGCATGAACTTCTAAATCACATTTTGCGCACAGCGCCGCTTCATCAGCACAGCAAATCAGAGTCGCAGGAGCTTTCTCGCAGACATCGCACTGGATCTTCATCTTCCTTCCACAGATAGATCTTGACTTCTCAACAACTTGCTAGTTCGTTATGGATAACACCCATATACCAAATTCACTGAGAAAGAAAACAGGAGCAGCGAAGCTCGAAGAAACTTGGAAAACAAAGGCAACCCAGAATCTGAAATTTCAGTAGGTGTGAGCAGTTGCTGGAAAATTAAGAGAGAGAAAATGGAAGGAACCAGGCGAGTATTATATCAAGGAAAGCGAAGCGAGAGGCAGAGGGAAGAGACGTGTGTAGATAAGGTTTGAATAGATATTGTGCGCATCAAAAGGAAGAGAGTGGTTGAAAACAGCGCAGCACCAGGTGGGGTCACACCCTACTACAATGTGTGGCTCCGCGGCTACTCGGCTGTACTAGCGGCCACTGATTTTTTGGTTTTATTTTAAGATCCTGGACAGCCCACGACGGGCTGTCCGGTTATATCCAGGCCTAAGCTAGGGCAGGCGAAGAAATTGCAAGCACGCGAGTAAATAGTTTAGCATTAGAGTCGTCTTCTTGCCCAACAGAGTTTTGTGGCTGCGGCCTGCAGCCCTGAAGCAGGAATTCAATTGTTCAACGAGGTGGCGTCATGCTATTGGCTCAGAAAAAGTAGTACAACGTTTAAGAATTAGGGTATTAATAATAAATGGTCCCGGCACATCCCGCTCTAAACTGCCCAACCAAAAGAAAATTAATTACAAAATAAATTCAAACATAAATTTCAGTTAAGTTAGGTTTAGTTGGATTTAGTTTGGATTTATTAGTATTTAATAGTATTAGCTTGTATATATGTGTGCTACATATTATGTGTATATACATATAAATAAGGAGCAAATTTTCTAAAGCTTGCCTTATAATCGAGAATGGTGTGGCTTTAATTTTGGACCAAACAAAATTATAGGCTTAAATTATTTTTTGGTTCAAACCAAACCAATTCAAATTTAATAAAAATCAAATCAAGTCTTAAAATTCAGTATATTTTGGTTAATCAGTTTGGTTATGTATACTTTCATACTCAATATCTTCCTTTTTAAAAAGAATATATATGTGTGTACAGTATCATATTTTGTTTTTATTGTTTATCCTTCTATAAAATAGATCCCCAACCATTGTTTCTTTCCACACCTTTAAATTCCTATGTAATTTTAAAAGTAAATTCGGTTTTATGAGCTGGGCATTTTTGATTTATCTCCCCTGCATCTGTACTGTAGTTGTAGAGAGATTGCTCCACGGCGAGGGGAAGCTTGTATTTCATGGTTGGTTGATGGAGCCATATATCTTTTGCTGATCGTATTAGCAACAAACCGCTGGACGTATTTTGAAGGGTTAAAAGGGTGATGAGATTAATTAGTAGGGTGTATAAAATCAAACCAATCCATTAAATTAAATAAAATTAAATTGAATTTTAAAATTTGATTTAATTTTTATTAAATTTAAGTTAGTTTGATTTATACCAAAAAAATAATTTAAATTCATACTTTGGCTTTATTTATAACTAAAATCAAAACCATTCTGATTTATAAATCAAAATTCTGAAAATTTTGGTACTTATGTGTGTGTTTATAGCGTTGGTCCCATCATACAGATGATTTGCAGGTCTTTGCAAAAAATTTTGACTTTTTGACCACTAGAACATGGATGCTTACAAGATAGGCCCATTCAAGAATCAATTCAATCATGCACGTACGAAGCTTTCCTCTGGCATAAAAGTACAACTTCTATGGTTGAAATTTAGCCATAACTTTTGCTTACAAAATGAACTTCAAAGCAAGGCCCTAATTTTAAGATCTCTCTCCGTAAAAGACACAACATGGACTCAAAGTTGACTAGTTTTGGGTTCAAGGCCTATGAGTCACGAGTTCAAAGTTTACACATTGAAATTGTATATTATTCATGTGAAATTATGGAAAAATTATTGGGCAAGCTCTACAAGTTTTGGAACACTAGTCAATAATTTCTAACTCAAGAGGGCTGATATCTGTGCAAGGCAAAAGCCTTCTGACTTATATAGATGAAGTTATTGTTTATCGAAAACAGTTCTATTGCAGAACGTGACAGCATAGTGAGTTGAATTTTGAAAATAACTTTTAATCACCTACTCTAAATGTTCTAAAATTTTTATAGGAGCTATACATGAGAGTTAACTATCTATGGGCTAAATCAGTTCATTTAGACATATTGGCATTGAGTTATTGACCAACTGTTTGGACAAATGCAAATTTGGATAGTCTGGTTTTGAAATTTTATAGCACTTTTTCTGCGAAGCATTTTGGCGTCTATTTTGTATCAATGAAAAGTCGACTCAAAATGCTATCTATTAATTTTAGTAGAAAAATATTTTTCTCAAAAGAAAGGGATCAAAATAACAAAAAATAGAGGACCATGCAGGTTGGACTTTCTAGAAGGTGCAAAAAATGTGAGGTGTGTGAACGTGTAGTAAACACTAACACACAACTTTTAACAAAACTCACAAGGGGAGACTATTTTACTTTTCTCAAAGCCAAGCTAAGAGGCTAATTTTGACCTTTATCTCACCATGTTATAAAGACTAAATATCTAGAGATTGTTTGATACCCTTGTATCTAAACTTGACAAAGAGAAAGTTAAGAACTCAAGGTTCTAAAATCTAAAGGTGGCTCCTTTCGTTTTCTTCTAGGTCAATCATGAAACTTCTACAAAACTCATGAAGGGCACCACATTGTCATCAACAACATGACTTCATTCCCGAACCTTTCGAAAGATGGGAGAAGGTTTAAACACACAAGCAACTTGGGCCCTCTCAAAATAAAATAAAAGGAATGGGAGAGACGAGAATAGGGGCTATGAATGGAAGAATAGTTGGAGTAGAAGAAAAGGAGGATACCCAAATGTAAAGAATGTATAAAGAAAAATAAAGAAGATAACTTTGGGTGGTTGGAAGACTTAAAGTGGCTTGAATTCCTTCCCCTTCCTTCTTCTTCTTCTTGTTAGAGGCTAGGTGTGGAGTTAGAAGACAAATGAGTAGAATTTTGGCTATCTAGAAGGATCAAATAATGATGTCTTGCAAAAGGAGAGGGTGGTCTATAAAGGAAGACCTGAGGGGTAAAATGGTGGATGCCTTGAATTTTCAGGCTATTTAGAGATAGAGAATGCATAGAAAGATCTAGAATAGAAGGCAAAAATGGAAAAATCACAAGGAGAATGAAAGTCGTAGTCAGCCAACCCAGGCCAAAAAGGTTTGGCATGTGTTAACACACCCCCCATATTAATGGCATGGATCCCCTACCCCATCCTTGACTGCGACATGACTTCTTGACCGCAAAATTTAGCAATGAGGGAAAAAGTTAGAATGGCGTAATGTACCTTGTCCGCCTTCAGGGTGCATCAGGGCAAATTATTTTTGTGTGATAAAAAAGAGCCTTACGGCCCTTAAGGGCAAGTAGATCTTGTGCAATGCAGAAGAGCCCCAAGTCCTTGTTCGGACTGGTGAATGGTGCAGGCATGATCGAGGTATCAAGGGCAATTCGGTCATTTTATCACCCCACTTAAAAGGTTACGGGCCCTAAGGGATCGTGTGCGAGGAAGAAGAGCCCTAAATCTTCTTTCGGACTCATGAATGGGTAAAGGTAGGCTAGAGGTATTAGAGGCAATTCAGTCATTTTTTGTCACCCAACGGTGAAGATTCTCACTGTTTACCCCACAGCATTTTCTGGAAGTTGTGAAGTCGTTGCTACTACAAAGCAGCACCATTGTTGCTCCTAGTTCCTTCTATGTCATCCATTCTAACACTGTTCTCTGCCATTATGCTTAACGGAAACCTGTGCAGATGACTCCAATAGTTATAATTCTTTATCTATGTAAATTTTTTCAATAGTCTCTCTCTATTACTGTCTTTTTTTTGACAATTATTGCAAATGGTCTATCATATGAATGGGGAAGAATTGTTGGGGTGGCAAAGGTGAACATTGTTTCATCAAAGACAACATGCGGCAAGATGTACACTCCGTGAATTATGGGATGCAAGCATATGTAATCCTTATATGTGAGCTCCAAAATACGCATGGGTAATACAGAAGATCAAGCTCATCTAGGATATGGTTACAAAGAGGTAGAAAATAGGAGTGACCTATTGAGGCTTGATTTTATTGGCTGGCAGTGTAGCGGCTTAATATCTTTTGGGGCATGATTGGCCTTCTATAGGCTCATGGCCCAGGCCCCCGTGGCCTCCCCTGAGCGGTTGCCCTTGGCAAGGTATTGACCAACGTCCAAGAATTTTGAGGTCAATATGCAAGAATTTTGAAATTGACCAACCTGCCAAAAGGGTGGGCAAAACGCCAATTTCAACTTACAAGAAATTTGCTTATTTTGTCCCATAATTGAGTAAATTTACGGAAAGGGACAGGGAGGGCAATCATGATAAGGGCAAGCATATTTTGGGACAAATGTGCATCAATCTTTCCAGGGTAGCCCACCTTCTCTGCTATTCTGGATAGCTATGAAGGGATTACTTGACGTTGAGTATACATTAATTAGTGTAGCAAATCTAATATTTGTCAGATACATGGGGACTAGAGATATGTAAAACAAACCTAATTAATCAAATTAAACTAAAACAAACTAAATTTTAAAATTTGATTTGATTTAAAATAATAATCTAAAATTATAGTTTGGTTTGGTTTAAAAATTAAAATCAAACAATTTTAAATTAAAAATCAAAAATTTGAAAATATTTCTCTTTTACATTTAAGATTGTCCATCGAATTCAAATTTAGATTTGGACTTACCTGATTTAATCTAAATCCAACCTATTTGCAACTCTATCTTTTGCAATGCACCAAGTGAATAAGATTAAAATTCCTTGTGTTTGGCAGGAAGGAAAACGGTTGAAAGCATTTGATTCATTTTGAAACTGTTGAGAGATATTTTTATCTAGGAATAAACTGTCTAGGAGATGACTTTTAAAACGTGGCAAGGATTGAGGGACGGTCTTAACCTTTTTAGCAATGCCTTGACTTTTGTTATGATTTGATTTATTGGTTGTGTAGTATCTACGTATTTATGCATATATATATATATATATATATTTTTATATTTATATAAATATATAAATTTATATATACATATATGTGAATATATATGTTATATATATACAAATATATATACATATACACACACTGACACATACAT